CCAACCACATTTTTGAGCAACTCATGCTGAGCCCGGCGTATGCGCACATTTATTACATGGGCCTGCAACATACACAAGTTCAAGTTTTGCACCATTTGACGGAACACCCATGCTCGCGCGCAACGCTGGGTGTGGTGCATAGGCATTCGGGAATGCAAAATTGTCACCCGAGGATCGTTTGACAAGTGGGCTGGCAACCACATGCAGAACCAAAAACCTTTGGTTGAGCAGCTGGGCCATGCACTAAAACAGTGGAAATCACACCATTATGCCTCTCGAAGTGTTGGGAAATGTGCCCCACACGCCTCCAAACCACGCAAACTGTCAGCGTGGTGGACATGTTGCCTACAGTTCAATGTGTGACTCTGAGACGTCGGACAAGCTGGACAGGCGTACATGTTGAAATGTCGCTGGCATGAAGGCCCACCCACGCACACCGAAGGTTTCCTTGCGTGTCCCAAATCGAAATCTAATTTTCAGGCAACATTGGCAAAATCCACTGGACGTCCCTCAGGCTGAGGACGCCACAGGCTGTTGCAGGGAAACTGTCAAACAACCACTCATTCAAGTCAAAAGGTCCAAAAAACCTAAAACCACAGGGGACAAGGAGAGGCGGAAAGCAACCACAGTGCCGACAATGCTCATGGAACCGTAGTAGTTTTGGCGGGTCTTCATGTCGCCGGTTGCCCGTCCCACACTTGAGCAAAGGGAGGGTCTGCTGGACAGAAATGGAGCTGAGCGGTGTAAACAAATCATTCCTGCAAACAAACAAACGCGTCACATGTTGTCCAACACACAAACATCGCATGCAGTGACGTCCAGGCAACGCAACCAGTTCCGGCTAAGCCAATTCATTCGAAGCACGGGTGGTCGGGAATTGCCCTTCCTGAATGAGTCCGAAGTCACCAACCTAGTTTGCAAACACCGCCTATGTACAGGCAAACCCCACCCGAAACGAATCCACACAGTTGAGCAATGCCCAACCCGTAGGGACCAAAACGACGCAAAAAGGAGGGCCATGAAGCACGCACATTCACAAGTTAAAACCGGACCCCCGTAACGCCCAACGCGCCCAAAAAGGAACAATCCACGCAATAAAAGAACCCCATCAAGATACAGTAGGCTTAGGCACTGGCACCACTGCCAGTTCACCAACAAACGTGAACAAACCTGCCTTCAATAGTGCCAACCTTTTCAATCTGTCACACAAGCACGCCAAAACGGCAATACGTCAGCACTTCACACATCATGTGCCCACATATGTGCACAACAGCCACTACAAACACGAACCAGCAAACCTCCTTCGGAACGGATCTGCCCGCCCAACGGTGCACTAGACCTCGATTGTTTTTCCTCAGCCTCCTCTTCTTCGAGCGCCCATAATCTGATCCATGTGGCAGCTTACCTTGTCCTCCACTTATCCTTTTGCCCCTGCTTCAACCTTTTGGGATCTGGCGTTGCCCCCTCAAGCTCATGAACCTGCTTCTCCGTGGTCTGCTTGAACTTCTTGGCCTCTGACTTTGAACACTGTTCGGCAGTGGTGCTTTTTTGGGCTGATGAACGTGGGGCGCTCGGCATCCTGCTTGATTCCTCCCTTCCTCTAATGACATCCTATTGTACTGCCCTTCTTTTGGTGCACTCTTCTTCTCCTCTTCTCTCGGTTCCATACTCCTTACCCTCAGTCACCAAAGGCCTTGCTTCCTTCAGCTTACTTGCGAACGTCTTCGCACAAGCAAGCACCTCCAAAGCATTTCCATCGTCTTCTGCAATGCCCATCCTTTCAGTCGCTGGCAACATCACAGCTCCCCAAACCCATCGAGGCCAGTCTCTTTTGAAGGCACGATTCGGCCATCAAAGTTCTGCTGACTCCCAGTCCGTGATGCCCTGAAAGCACTGCAGCTACTGCGTGGTCAAATTGGAGGCCGTCCTCAATATCTACTCCAGGGCACAGGCAGGTGCCGTCTGGTAGTTCTGGCCATCGAACTGCGGGGGGGGGTGGAGCACAGAAGCCGCCCACTCCATCCGATCTTTGGCTCACACAAAAGCCAGAGCTGTCCCCCCAATCTTCGACAAGCCACACTCACAG